ATTCAAAGAAGGTGACATCAGGGCACACAAACGATTTATGAAACTTTGGGTTATAACACTTRTACCCTTTCTGAGTCCTTGAGTAGCCAAGAAAAATACACTTCGTAGYYYGAGCATCTAGCTTGTCTACTCCAGGCCCCAAGTGTTGAACAAAACAAACACAGCCAAAGACTCTTGGGGTGAGAGGAAAGGGAGACAAAGTGGGAAACAACACGAAGAAAGGGGATTGACTTTCAAGGATTGACATGGGCATCTGATTTATCAGAAAACAGGATGTAAGAACAGCATCACTCCAAAAATGCTTTGGGACATGCATATTGATCATCAAGGACCGAGAAGTTCTTGTTGCGGGGTGTAGACACAAGAAGTTTGATGAATTATTCCATGATGTTCTAGGTATTGCTGAAATGGTGAGGAGATGTATTCTTTGGCATTATCGGAGCGAAGTATTTTCATATGAACACTAAATTGAGTGCGTATTTCAGCATGAAATTTCTGAAAAATAGAGAACAATTCACTGCGGTCTTTCATAAGATAGATCCATGTCATCCTTGAAAAGTCATCAACAAAGATTACAAAATACTTAAACCCATTGTATGACACCACTTTAACTGGACCCCATTCATCAAAATGAACTAAAGCAAAAGGACTTGAAACACGACTATCAATTTTTGGACTAAATGAGACTCGATGATGTTTTCCCAACTAACATGACTCAGCCTGTGGTACACTCACCATTTCCTGCCCGGAAGCACAAGCGGGTGTGGAGGGGGTTGGGGCAATTTGCTGGCTTTCAGTAATTGTGCTACTACTCTTAGATGCAGCATGGTTGGCCCAAGTGTTGGGTGGACCAYGCAAATCATAGCAGAAATTAACTGTATGCCCCTCTAAGCCACAATGTGTACATTTTCTCTGAGCATTACCCCTTCCTTTTCCACGGCCTCCCCCTGACTCTCGGCCTCCAGTCTGGCCACTAGCCCGGTTAAACATGTGTCCACCACGGTTGTTTGGAGGGCCACTGCTGCCACCACCACTTCTACTTCCACGGCCACTCCCTTTAGTCACTACCAAACCAGATCTATCAGAGAAGGAAGAATGTTCCACCG